TGTCCTGCCAGTTAGCAACTTTGTGAGCCTGGGGAGGGTTTGAAGTTGAAATTAATTTTTTTCTTTTTTAATTGAATTTTAGAGAGGGAGGGAGAGAAACAGAATAGAGATAGAGATAGAAACATTGGTTTGTTTATCCGTTTATTTATGCATTCTTGGGTTGATTCTTGGGTTGATTCTTGGGTTGATTCTTAGGTGTGCCTGACTGGGGCTCCAACCCACAACCTCAGCCTATGGACGATGCTCTAACTGAGCCACCAGGCCAGGACTGCAGTTCAAATTCTTCAAAAAACCAGGACAGGGGTCTCCCTCTCAGGAAAACCTGATGAAGGGTGTGATATGACCAACCAAGCTGAGTCTCCACCACCTGCCACCTTGGCCTTCCTGGGTGAGGAAGGGCCTAAAGGGAGAGGGCCTGGCTCCCAGAATGCAGGAGACCACAGGCGAGCATTTCCCTGGTAGCTCCCTGCAGGCGAGGTGCAGGGGTGTGGTCTCTGCAGAAGCAAAGAGGCTGGGTGAGTTATGGAAAATGCAAAACCAACCCAGTGCCTCCTGGGCTGTAGGTTTCTTTGGGAGCCTACTGGGGAAGGAGGGGGCCGGCCCCCCGCTGTGTTTTCAGAGTCACCCCCCTTTTCTTAGGGTGGGGGCTGGGGAAGCTGGTTTGCGGGGAGGGGCCATCGGGCAACAGAAATGGGAGCCCTCAGACGGGCTGGCGTGGCTCCGTGGCTGAGCATCAGGGCAACCAGGGCATATGCCAGGGTTGTGGGCTGGATCCCCAGTGTGGGGCGTACAGGAGGCAGCCAGATCAATGATTTGCTTTCATCCTGGATGTTTCTATCTCTCTGAAATCAATTTTCAAAAAAAATTAAAGCAAGGAAATATGAGCTCTCAAATGAAGGCCTTATCCAGTCATCAACCCCATTGTCTCCTCTCACATCTGGGGAGGTCAGTAGGGAGGGGACCTGTCCAGACCCAAGAGCTCCCTGGTGGCTCCTCTGCCCTTAGTCCGCCCAGTAGGACTAACATGATAACTGGGGGTGTCACAGGTGCTGGCGGATAAGGGCTTCAGGGAAGTTCCTCAGCCTCAGCACCGCTGAGGGGGTCATTCTCTTGTGGGGCCGCCCTGAGCAGTGCAGGGTTGAGCAGCATCAGATGCCAGTAGCACCCCCACCTCCCACCAATGTCTACAGACATTACCAATCTCCCCTGTGGAGATTGAGATCAACTGGAATCACGCTGGGCTCTCCCACTTACCAACTGTGTGACATCGGTCTCCTTGTGCCTCAGTTTCCCCATCTGTAAAATGAGAATAATATTACCATCAATTTCTTGGCGTCAGAGAGGATTACTGGTGCCTAACTAAGTAGGTGCATGCATGGCTTAAATCATAGCCATGGGCACCCCGGAGCCAAATTACCCCAACCCAGCTTTATAAACTAGAGGAGGAGAATACATGTTTTTTTTTTCTTCTTGAAGAAAACTCTTTGAGGCATTAATTCTACCTGAAAGACTATCCCAAAGAAATCACCAAACATGTGACCAACATGTCTGGAAGGATCAAAAGCTATTTATAAAAGAAAAAACTGAAACTGCAAACAGCCCAGAGATGCCAGCAGGGGAGCGATTAAATGCGAAATGATACCTCCACGGGGTGAAACGCTGCACGGCCTCTGCACTGTCTGAAACGCTTTAGTGACATGAGGAGCCACTAGAATATAATGTTAAGTGACAACAATTCATGCAAAACCGTAGGAGCAGCGGGAGTCTATATAAATTGTTTTTGCTTGTAGAATAAACGGCTGGTGGTGCTTATTTCTGGGGAGTGAGAGTGCAGATATGTCAGATTCTTTGTGTCTAAAACGTCTATTGTAAATCTGCATTTGTTGAAATAATTAGAGGAAAACGGGCTAGAAGGGTTTTGGTAACGTCAAAATTGGTAAAGGAGATTTATTTTCTAAGATTTTTAGAAGTGGAACAGGAGGGGGAGATGGGGAAAGAGGAGGTCATGAGAGAGGGGGCTTATCTAGAAGATACCATTTCTCCACAAGCCCAGAGAGAGTGCCAAGGACGAGAGAGTGGGGGTGTGGAGATGGGAGAGGGGCGAAGATGGGGCGGGGGGTGGGGGGACAGAGATGAGAGCCAGCCTGTTCCTTTCCTAAGGCTGCGATACCAACAGGACCACACACTGGGAGGTCTTGAACCTCAGAAATGTATTCTCTCACAGTTCTGGAGACCAAGGTGTGAGCAGCGCCAGTGCCCCCTGCAGGCGCTGGAGGAGAATCAAGCCTTCCTAGCCTTCTGCAGCTTCATGCTCCCTCCCCACTCCCCCGGAGTTCTCCGGGCTCGGGCCAGTCCAGTCCTTGAGCATAAGGAGGCCTTGTGCTAAACCTTTCCACCTCTGCTTCCGTCACTGCCTCGCGTCTTTTCCGTGTCCCTCTATGTTCTCTCCTCTTAGAAGAAGGATTTAGGTCCACCCTCAACCACCTAGGATGGTTTCTATCTCAAGATCCTTAACTAATTACATCTGCAAAGACCTCTTTCCAAATAAGGTCACATTCTGAGGTGCCAGCTGGACACAGAACTTGGGGGCACGTTATGCAACCCGCTCCAGGGAGCAAGCAGTCTTTAAAAAGTGTGTTGGGATCACAAGCGGGCACAGCGCTGAGACAAAACGTACAGGAGGGTGTGCGGTGACAAGCCAGCGTGTCTTTCAGCCCTGACCTTAACAGGGTGGACCAGCTTCCTGTCCGCACAAGCACAGGGGTCTTTTTTGTACACAAGGGAAGCATCTCTGCAGGGTCTGCTCCCTGCCTCTGCACTTAGCATGTCTATGGGAGGTCCCTCCACAACTACCTCTTTTGGTTTCATGGCTGTGTATCATGTCATTGCTACATAACTTATGTCACCAATCCACTTTAAAAGATTGCGGGGTGCTCCTTTTTGTGTGTGTGTCTGCTACTTAAAAACTAGATGCCTGGTGCACAAAATTCATGCACTGGTGGTGATGGATGTCCCTCAGCCCAGCCGGTACTCTCTCCAATCTGGGATCCCTTGGGGGATGTCCAACTCCTGGACATCCCTCTCACAATCTGGGACTGCTGGCCTGCCTGCCTGATTGCCCCCTAACCACTCCCCCGCCGGCCCGGTCACCCACAACTGCCCTCCCCTCCTGGCCCAATCATTCCCAACTGACCTCCTCTACCAGCCCAATCACCCCCAACTGCCCTCCCTTGCTGGCTATCTTTTGGTCGCCATCTTGTGACTACATGGGGCAGCCATTTTGTGACCACATGGGGCCGCCATCTTGTGTGAGGGTGTGACAGTCAATTTGCATATTATTTCTTTATTATATAGGGTAGAATTTATTTTAGGTTCACAGCAAAATTGAGGTGAAAGTACAGAGATTTTCATATACCTCCTGCCCCCACACTTGCACAGCCACTCCCATTATCAGCATTCCCTACTGAGCCCATACTGCTCATCATTATCACCAGAAGTCTGTAGTCCGTATTAAGTTTCAATCTTGGTGTTGTGCATTCTGTGGGTTTGGATGAATGTATAGTGACATATATCACACAGAACAGTTCAATTTCCTAAGAATTCTGTGCTCCACCTACTCACCCCTCTCTTTTCCCAATCCCTGGCAACACCTCATCTTCCCATTTGCAAACTTTTGCCTTTTCCAGAATGTCTCATAGTCAGAATCAGAGAGAGTGCAGCGTTCTCCGACTGGCTACTTTCTCTTAGTAACAAGCATTGAAGCTTCCTGCATGTCTTTTCATAGCTTGACAGCTCATTTCCTTTAGCATCAAATAATATTCCATTGTCTGGATGTCTCACAGTTTATTCATCCCCTCACCTACTTACTAAGGTCATCTTAGTGGCTTCCACACATTGGTAACCATAAATAAATCTGCTGTAAGCATCCCAGTGCAGGTTTTTGTGTGGATGCAAATGTTCAATTCCTTTTGGGTAACATACCAAGAAGCACAGTTGCTGGATTGTATTGTAAGAGTATGTTTAATTTTGTAAGAAACTGATTCACTGTCGTCCAAAGTGACCGTGCCATTTTGCATTTCATCAGCGATGACCAAGAGTTCCTGTTGCTCCACATACTCACCAGCATTTGATGTTGTCAGTGTTCTGGATCTTGGCCAGTCTCATAGATGCATGCTGTGTATTTAAGTGTTAATTTTGAGAAAATTGGCCCGGCCAGCATGGCTCAATGGTTGAGCGGCAACCTGTGAATCAGGAGGTCACGGTTCAATTCCTGGTCAGGGTACATGCCTGGGCTATATTCCCAGTGTGGGGTGTGCAGGATGTTTCTATCTCTCTCTTCCTCTTCCTTCCTCTCTTGAAATCAATAAAAATATATTTTTTAAAAATTTGTTGAAACCGGTTTGGCTCAGTGGTAGAACGTCGGTCTGCGGACTGAAAGGTCCCAGGTTTGATTCCGGTCAAGGGCATGTACCTGAGTTGCGGGCACATCCCCAGTAGGGGGTGTGCAAGAGGCAGCTGATTGATATTTCTCTCTCATCGACGTTTCTAGCTCTCTATATCTCTCCCTTTCTCTCTGTAAAAAAATCAATAAAATATATTAAAAAAAATTTTTTTTTTGAGAAAAGTATAGATTCCTGAACAGAGAGATCCCACATACCTCCCTTTACCCACTTCCCCACCAGCAATGGCTTACAGAACTCTATCACAACTAAGAAGTGGATGTGGATACACACCACTTCCTCACATCTCACCAGCTTTCCTCCACTCATTTGTGTGTGCATGCATGTAGTTCTCTGCAACTTTTCACACGTGCAGATCTGTGTGGTTGTGGTCACAGTTAATTTGCAGAAGTTCCATCATGAGAACCCCTTGTGCTACCCTCCCTGGCCTGCTACCCCTCGGCTCATCCTGTAGGTTTAACTTTCTAAGCCTCTGTGTCCGCTGCAATCACTTGTAAGTAGTGCATGTAGTTGGATTTTGCCTTTGACCCAATCGAAGACTCTTTTTCTTTAATAGAGGATTTGTATCCTGTTCATAATTAGGAAAAAATGCAGAAACTACTGTCCTGCAACATTTATGGAGAGAGGCAGTGTCCTCTCGACTTTACAGGTGAGGAAAGGGAAACTGAGAGCAGCGAGTTTCCTTGAAATCACAGAACTGGTGAGAGACGGAGGCAGGCTGTGATCCATTTAACCTCACTGACTCTACTAATGCCAAGGTCAGCCTTTTCCTCCCGCAGCGTGAGACACATCAGCCAGACGCCCGTCACAATGAATTTGGAAAAGACCCAAGATACCATTTCCAATGTGGCAACTACAGAGACAGCTCCCGTCTTCAAAGGTAAGCTCCCCCTCCCAGCCTACATGGGGGAAAGGCAGAGTCCAGTGACATCTTTGTAAAAGAACGGTGGCGAGCAGAATAGCTCAAAACACGTGAGAATTCAAGGCTACACAAACACCCGCAGTTACACACACACACCCTTCACTGGATCCCAACACTCGTCCCTAGTTTTGTCCTTCGCCAGCTGCCGCCTCCCTGCCTGGCTGAACTGGTGGTTTCCTCCAAGGCTCAATCTTGGGCCATTCTTGGCTTCTGCCACTCTCTCCCCAGGGTTCACATGCAATTAAAAATAAATAAATAAATAAATAAATAAATACACACACACACACACACACACACACACACACACATATATATATATATATATATATATATATATATATATATATATAATTATTGATTTCAGAGATGAAGAGAGAGAGAGATGGGGGGGATAGAAATGTCAACGATAGAGAATGATCGATCAGCTGCCTCCTGCACGCCCCCTTTGGGGCTCTAGCCTGCAACCTGAGCATGTGCTTGACCGGGAATCAAACTACAACCTCCTGGTTCATAGGTGGGTGCTCAAGCACCAAACCACTCAGGTGGGGCTCACATGCAAATGTTGGGGCTTTAATTACTTTCCACGCTGTTGGCTCCCTCGTTTGCTCGCCCAGTCAGAACGAGAGTCATCTATGCCCATCAGCATCACTCTAATCAGGTATCTCAAACTCAGTCCACCCCAACCTGAACTCAGTGCCCCACCTAGAAAACCCTTACCCATCTCAGTAGATGGGCTCTTCCCTGTAACAGTCCTTCAGGCCCCAAATGCGACTCACCCTGAGGTCACCCTTGACTCTGCTCTCGCCCATCCCACATCCACTGACAAATCCTGTGGAACCCTTCAAATCCACCATGTTTATTATTTCTACCAGCCTGCTTCAAGCAGCTGCCGCCTCTTGCTCTGACCATTGCAATAACTTCCGAAGAGTTCAGCCCGTTTCCTCTCTTGCAAACCTAGTCTGTTTTCCAGCCCAAGCACTCGTTTTCACACCTACCTTAAATCGGGGCCACTACCAGACCACGTGGTGTCTTAGGGCTGGTTAGGAAAAGTGGATACAGCTCTGTGAACCCATAGCTCTACAAATGGATGACCACCTGGTGCAATCAATCAACCAACCAATCAATCAAAGTGCCCCTCTCTCTTGACTGACACACACCTCCCCCGATCCCTGACCCCCAGGTCTCACCACCAACCAAGTAGATTCTGGGAGGGTTTCAGACCCCCCAACCCCCACCCTGTGTGTTTAGACAGGACCTTTTGCAGCTCTCATGATATTATTATGTCCTTGGGACTATGACTGATATACAAAGGGGCCTTATAAATTGTTGCCAAGTCCTGTGTGGATGATCTTTTAATCATTAAATCAAATCTGATATAATGAAAGCCAAATATTCTGAGTGTCTGGTCATCTGGTGACTAGTCAACTGTCCAACCAATTAAAATGTAATCTATAGTAATAAAAGCATAATTTCCTAATTAGACTGGACAGCCAAATGACCTTCTAGATGTCATCCCTGACATCCTTCTGGACAAAGTCGCTGCAATGGAGGCTGAGGCAGAGCTGCTTAGGGGCAATCAGGCAAGCAGGAGAGTGGTTAGGGGTAATGAGGCAGGCAGGCAAGTGAGCAGTTAGGAGCCAATGGTCCCGGATTGCAAGAGGGTGCAGGCAAGAGACCCCCACCCCCGCACAAATTTCATGCACTGGGCCTCTAGTTTGTTCATAATAGCCAATGGCTGGAAGCTATCTATATATCTATATCTATCTATCTATCTATCTATCTAATCTATCTATATCTATCTATCTCTATCTCTATCTCTATCTCTATCTCTATCTCTATATCTACAATATATCTATATCTACAATATATCTATATCTATATCTATATTTATATCTATATCTATATCTATATATAGCTAATATGCAAAGTGTCCCTCCTGGAGTTTATGACATGCGCTGGCAAGGATGTGCATGGAATGAAGGAAGGCCCCGGCCGGCAGCCAGAAGGCCTCGATTGGCCCTGATCACCCGCCAGGCCTCCGAACCCTACCGGTGAATGAATTATTAGCAGCAAGCCTCTAGTATCAATTGATGAAAGAATAAAAAAACCTAAACATATTCATTGACAGGAGAATAGATAAGCAAATTGTGGTGCATTTATATAATGAAATAATGCATCCCAAACATTTTTAAAAACTGCTGATACCTGTAACATTTATATGAGGTTCAAAAATAGGCAAATTAATGAATGGCTCTAGAAGTCAGAACAGTGGTTCCCCCCGGGGTGGGGTGAGTGCTGCCTGGGGGCAGTCACAGGAAACCTGTTCTGTATCTTGGACGATGATGACATTCCTCCAGGTGAAGATGTAGAGCAACAAGATGGCGGTCTCTCCCCTGAAGAATTAAAATTTCTGAAAGAGTTCCCCATGATGAAAGCGGAACTAGAAGCAGTCATCAAAAAGCAACGTGCCATCGCAGACGACATCGACAAAACCCACAAAAAATTCACCCAGACCAACCTGGTGACCGACTCCATCGCTGTGGTCTCCGGGACCATGAGCATCCTGGGGCTGGCCCTCGCTCCGGTCACAGCCGGAGGAAGCCTGATGCTTTCTGCTGCTGGACAAGGCTTGGGGGCAGTAGCCGGGGCCACCAGCCTGGCGACCAGCATTTTGGAATACCGTCACAATAAACAAGCCCAAGCTCAAGTCAGCCGCGAAGTGTCTGACTCTGACCAAAAGGTCAAGGAGGCTGTCAACCGTATCATGGGGGCCGGAAAGACTGTCTATTGCTTTGGGAAAACCATTGAGAACATTGAGAATAACATGCGGGCCTTGGAGTTAGTCAGAGCCTACCCGCTCCTGGCTGAGGCCGCAGAGCAGCTCCTCCTCACTGGCCAAGCCTCTGCCCGGACCACCAGGATTGTGAGGAGGGCCTTCAGAGGCACCCCGCTAGCGATGGGGACTAAAGCTCTCTTGAAGCACGGTGCCTTGGCTGGCCTCTTCCTCGGCATGGACATGAGCAGCCTCGAGAAGGACTGGAAGCAGCTGAAGGAGGGGGCCAGGACCGAGGAGGCGGACCAGCTGAGGGCCCAGGCTGAGGAGTGGGAGAGAAAGCTGGCAGAACTCACCCAGCTCTATGAACACCTGCAGGTGAGGCTGGAGGGAGGGGAGAGGGACTAGGCCTCATGGGCACCCAGGGTTAGGGGAGGGTGTGAAGGAAGCCAGAGTGTGCAGTTTGCATGGCTGCCCCTCGGACGAGGGCTCCTGGAGATGATGATAGTGCTCAGCCTGGACAGGCCCGGCCGTGCCTCTGTGTCTCCCTTGATGTCTCTCCAGGCTCCTGGCCTGGGAAGAGGGCCTTCCTGGTTGCACAGACAGGACACTGAGCCACAGCGGGTGCTGGGGATGGAAATGTGTTCCCCTAAGACCCATCGCTCTGGAGACTGTTTGGAGATGCCGCTTTGGGGAGTGGTTGGGGTTGAATGAGGTCATGGCGGGGGAGAGGGGAAGGGTGAGGACTCATGATCCCTGACCAGAGACCCCGTTGGCCCGCACCTTGGTCTGGGCCCCGCTACCTCCAGAGCGATGAGAATCACACGTGGCTTTCTGTCACGGTGGCCCTGGCTGGCTGGGACAGGGAGCTCCTGTAACCTGCCCCTCTCTCCCAGGTGGAGCGGGTCAGGATGAAGCTGGGAGCCAGCCTTCGGAGCTGGCCGGCTCTGCCCGGCTCTGCCCGCCTCTGCCCCAGAGCACTCCTGAGATGGACGTTTTTGTTTCTTTACATAAACTCTTGCAGGAAAGAAGCCTTAGGAACTCATCTTCCAAGGAAGAGGAAGCCGGTACGACTCTGTCTCAGCCCCCAGCCAAGCTAGGGGAAGCAGGCCCCCAGGTCACAGGTGAGGCGGAGGCTCAGCTCTGAGCAGAATCAAAGGGGCCGGGCCTGGCCGGGCGGGGTGGGCGGCAGAGAAAATGCCTGTGGACTTGCCAGCAGATTCCTTTCTGTGCTCTGGGGGCCCAGGCACTGTCAGCTGGCGAGTGTAGTGAAGGTGAGCCTGTCCTCTCTCCTCCGTCTTCATTGCCCCTTGTTCCTGCAGGGAGGGGGTGGAGTGGGTGCTAACTCATGGCTTCCTCAGTCCCCGCGCACTCTCCCAGTGCTGATGAGGACAGTAGGGTCCCTGATGGGAAAGGTGTCACCGGAAAACAAAAAGGCCTTTGGAAAGGAGAGGGAAACTATTGTGTATTTGGGACCAGGAAGGATAGCTCCTGAGGAATCATGAATTCAGGCGGGAGCCCAAGTAATATTCTGATTAGGAGACAGAGGCCAGGGGTATCATGATCCAGGGGAGGAGAACAATCACACCAATCGGAGGAAGGCGAAAGGGATTCTAGGGACCACACAGGCAGGCTTAGGGAATACAGAGGGTCCACGGGGGAGGATGCATATGGGAAGGACAGAGGTATCCCTCTGGGCTGAGCAATGAAGGCAATTTTAAGGTGGATCAGACGCAGCCCTGACCTAAGCAGCTGGGAGAGCCACCTTGGTAATAACACATCCCTTGGCCAAGATGACTGAGAGAGCCCTAAAGGAGATCCAAGCCACTCCAACCTGAGCAGGTAAGACAGGGATGTGAAGGACAGAGAAATGACGCCGGAGAAGGGGATAAAGGAAAGTCAGGGGGTACCGGGATGGAGGAAACCTGTAAGGTTCTCCCTCCTCCCAACTGGTGGGCGGAGTTGTGACATTGCTGGCACCTGTCACAGGGACATCTCCAGGACATTGAGCCATTGATCAGCGCCTGCCAAAGTGACCTGGAGCCCACCCCTTCCTGTTCTGCCCTGGGTCCAGCCCTCTCCTGTTCCTCCCCGTAAAAGGACCCCCAGACCAGCCATGTGCTGCTGATCCTCCATGTCCAGGTGGCACCCCGGCTGGGTCCACCTCTCCTTCCAACTCCTTCAATTCTGATTTCTCTACCTCCGTAATGAGTCCCGCTCATTATTGGGAATAAACTTTACTTTAAAACTCCTTGGTGATCAGTTTCCTGCGCCTCAAACCTTTCTCGGAGGAGAGAGAAATGTCCACAGAATTGATGCTGGAAAGAGGGGACCACACTTTCACAGGAGATAGAGAGGGTTGCAAGATGAGGGAAAGAGAAGAACCGGACACCACGTGAGCTTTGGACTTTGAAACAAAAGAGAGACCAATCAGGAGAGCACAGGGTCCGAACATGGGGAAGAGGCCCAATGAGAAAGGGTCAGGGTCACACCAAGAACTACAGCGTTTATAAACTGGAGACACAGGACACCAGGCAGATTACACATTTTGGATTTTTGGATGTAGATTTTTTTCTCATTAGAGAGAGAGAGAGCGAGAGCGAGAGCGAGAGCGAGAGAGAGAGAGAGAGAGAGAGCGCACACGCCCTCCCCCCCCCCATAGAGTTTATATATGCTTTCAATAAACTTCCACATTTTTCTAAATTAAAGAAACCTTTTTGTCCACGAGTTTATTCTTCAAACTTTGTCGGACAAGGGTCCACGAGACGAAGTCTGTGCCCCAAAGCCCACATTTCCCAGGCATTTCCATTGGTGCAGATGACATCCCATAGGGAAGCTAATTCTAAGCAATGTTATTTAATTCCCAGTCCGGTGGTCCTCTGTCCGGTGGTCACCCGTCCAGGTGTCACAGTGACTGCTGTCTGCTGATCGCTGCAAGCAGGTTTTTTTCCGTACAAGATCACCAAGGCCCCTTTAACACTGCAAAGGGCTGAGGCACATGGCACGCAGGCAGGTCCTCGGGGATGGCAGCTCCAGCTCCATTTTCAAGGGGCTCCGTTTATATGATCCTTCACTAGGGTTTGCAGTGTGGTTCCTTTCTCATCAACTCACCGGCCATTTTTCTCTCTCTCCCCCCACCCCCCTTCCCCCCCAGCAGCAACCGCAGCAATCGCTGGATAAGATCCTTTGTCTGCGCACAGAAGGACTGGAACCTGCTCCACCAGATTCCATCGGGAAGGGAGAGGCCCTGTTCTCCCCAAGACTATCCCCCCGACCCCCACCCGTGTTCCAGGCCTCCTTCTGACCTCCTTCAGAACTGTGTGCACCTTCCTGCCTTCCCCGCTCACCTACCTTACACTACCTTGTTAGCTGCTGTCTTGAAAGCAGTGCATTGCCATTAAATACACTTTTTTTTTTTTTTTTAAATTCCAGTACGTAAAAGAATAAAATAAAAATAGGGTGTGGGTGCTAACATGCTTACTGGCTTTTGTGGCTGTCATGAGCCTGCCTGCTGGGGACCCTCCCTCAGGCTGTGTTAAAACATAGGTGTTTTTTGTTTTTTTCTTCCTGAAACCACTGGGTTTTCTCATTCTCAGCGCTCTCCTTCACCTGCAGACCTATGACTTTTCCCTGTCCTGCTTTCTGTCAGCCATATTCAGCATTGATGCACCTCTCTCTCTCTCTCTCTCTCTCTCTCTCCCTTCCTCTCTGAAATCAATAAAGTATATTTAAAAATAAAAATCATGTATTGCCAAAGATAGATATAAAGACAGTAAAGCAATAAGCAGACTGTCAAATTACAGCGGGGAGGGAGATATGGGGGAGATAAGAGATCAATCGAAGGACTTGTATACATGCATGAAGTACAATCAATGGACACAAAACTCTGGGGAGGGAGGGCATGTATATGTACAGAGATAATAATTTAATTTTAAAAATAATGTATTGTTCAGCAGGCTCGATCCAAGGCCTCACCCCTATCTCCCCTCTCCTCCCCCCGCCACCCAGGCACCGTCTAGGGGAGGAGGAAGTGAGGTGGGGGTGGTGGGGGACTGTAGAACCAGAAGCAAGAAAGGACCCCAGCTCACCCAGTGGGCTCCCTTGTTTCCTGCTGTGGGCGGCCTTCTGGTGGTTTCCGGAAGCCCACCACCTCCCACACTGATTCTTGAAGGTTGGGGCTCCTCCCTCCTGAAGACATTCCCGGTGGTGATGAGGTCACGGGGGACCCCAGCCAGCGGGAGTCCGACTGCCCACCCATGTGGGGGAAGTGCCCTCAGCCACTGCATGGGGGTGAGCAGAGCTGGGCCCATGGCCTCTGGCGAGGGTCAGGTGGCCTCGGGACTTTGACCCTTAGCCTCTGTGACCCTTCCGGGGCCACCCCAGCAGTTCCTTGGACACACATAAGCCTCTGGGCAAGACACCACCCAGCTGGGCAAGAGGGCAGTTCTGATGCTGCGGACATCTTTCCCCAAAGGCCAAGTGCAGAGAGCTCAGCAGCAGCCCGAAGTGGATGCTTCCGCTGCGGCAGGGTGGTCGCCGGACAGGGCTCTGCAGACCCACAGGCACCAGGTCCCGGCCCCGGAGGACCGGCTGGCTGGGAGGGAGGTCACTCTTCAAAGTGCTGTCCAGCCCAGCCTGGGCCAAGGAGCTCGGCCAGCTCTTTGACCTAAGCCTCCATGGAGGACAGTCCTCAATGGCACCCTCTTTACTGGGGCCTGGCTCACCCCCTTTCCCCCGCCCCCACCCCAACCCCCGACCTCCTGGTTCTGGTGAGGACTTCCAGGAGAGGGAATGTGACCCTCGCTGGGAGTCTGAGAAGCACAGTCCCCCGCCATGAGGACCGGTGGGACAGGGACACAGGTTTGCCCAGAGAGACCGCCCCAAGGACTCGTCCTACTGAATCTGAGGGGGACACCCTGACAGCTACGATCCAGCAAACAGAAGGGCAGGAGTGGGATCAGCCTGGGCTCTGCTCTGCTATGGAGAAGTCCTCCTGTACTGGGACCAAATGAGGCTGGGACCTCAAGAAAAGTCCAGGGCTTGGGGGAAAGTGAGAAGGCGGGAGACCTCTGACCTCTGACCTTTGATGGGATCCCTAATCCCAGGACCTGAAGTTCCCAGAGCTCCGGACACTGTGTGGATTTCTTTTTGGATCTGTGAGCTAGATCAGGAGCGCTCCCACATTCTATCCATGACCCGTTTCACACTGCAGTCCAGCACACACACACACACACACACACACACACACACACACAATCACACGCAAACACATACAAACAAACACATACACACAAACACACAAACACACACAAACACATGCAAACAAACACATATACAGAAACACATACAAACACACAAACACATACACACACAAATACATACAGACACACAAACACATACAAACACAAACACACACAAAACCACTCACAAAAACACATACACGGGAGGAGCATCCAAGATGGCTGCTCGGGTAGACACCTAACCGCAGCAGCACACAACAATTTCAATGGAATACAACTAAAATGTAGAGTGGACATCGCCCAGAGCTACAGGTAGTCGAC